GAGAGCTCTGTGGTTAAGCATTTGAACAGTGAGGTCATTTCATCTTTTTCTGCCTCAATTTCTTTATCTGTAAAATGGTGATGATTATACTACATCTTCACAGGGATTCTGTGATGATCAAGTCAGAGAATGTATATGCATATGTAAAGAGCCTGTACCTAGTAAGTAAATTTTGCCAATATTATTTCTCCTAGAAACAAATACATGGAATATGCACAGACTGCTGTGAGGACAGCATATATGAAAAACAATTGTCATGAAGTGAGTTCCTATTCTCCACTTTCAGTATCTAATGACAGAAATATTCCTGACTTCCTTAAAACATTCTCTGATCAAGTTGTGAATGTTCTTAAGGTTGCAAATTAATCAGAACAAACTAACTGGTTATATGGAAGGCACACTTTCTATTTAAGGATCACTTAAAACAATTTTTGTTGACATTAAAAATCTGGCTAATTAGTTTTTAAAGAGGATAAGAGAGGTGATCATATTTCATGTTTTCTACTATGAGATTCCTGACAAGGTAATACAGACCAATGTCTCAATATCAGTCACATATGTGACTGCACCTTCTCCTTAGTATTATTGAATGGAACCTTAAGTGTGAAAGATGTCTTATATAGTATGTCAAAATGTTCAGCAATATAGTTTCAGTCTAAACACAGAAGTGAAAGAAGAGCAGATGATTTCCTTTTTGTTGTAATTCACTTTGGGATGCATGTCATGGGGAGCACTATACAAAAGCAATTTTCATTGATTGACTGACTGATTGAGGAAAAGAGTGAATGTTCTTTCAGCTTACGTCCCTACTGAAGTATGATTCTTATAACTCCTGACAGCTCTTCACAATTTGTAGTTAAATGGCATGTTAGCAAAAAAAAAAAAAAAAAAAGTGAAATAAAAAGGAGAGAGAGAACTTTGGATGTTCAGTACAGCTGATTTAAGCCAAATAGACGGTTAGATGAATGTAAGATAACTGCAAATTTAACTAGTCTAAGTCCTCCATGCAGAGTATTTACACGTTAGAGACTATAATTGCTAAAGATAGTTTGTTAATAAGTTACCTGCACAACTCAATCAGTGATACTGACAATCACATAGTTCTTGTTTTTCTTTTGTGGAATGTGTTATTTTTGTAAAAAAAAATTAACTAGTTTTAATTTGAATTATGATGTAGAGAAGTATTCAGCATCAGTGTCCTTCCCGTTTCAAAAAGAATTAAGTGAATTCTCTGAAATGCCCCCTCTAACCCTACATAACATGTACCTTCATTTACCTAATCTGTGCAAATCTTTTACTCTGTGATTGCAGCTAAATGAATGTTGATCTACTGATGATAGATCCAAATACTTACCATGATCAATGACGAAACTGAAAACATTTTACATACGAATGTTACTTTTCAAATTATTGTAGCAGATCAGTGTATAATCCATTACTTATCAGTGATTATTAGTAATCTGATCATTGTTACTGTTGGTCTTTTCTTAAATTTTTAGTATATTTTAATGACACAACAATGCTTAAGAAATCCCTACCCCCAAATTTACGTAAACTGGATTTTTCTCAGCTGTAAAGCAAAGCACTACTGGTGAGGCAGGTTTATTTATAATGATCTTCCAACTGGACTACATTTTAATGTTTGCCACGTTAGATTTGTTTGTAAAATATGGAACATGCCTTATTTGAAAAATATTTTCAAGACACTGAAGATCTAAAGCCACATAGCAAGTCAAAATAAATATATTTCCAAGTGAGAGGTACTTGAAGTATTTTTCCCAGGCTACTGCATACAAATGGAAAGGTCTGTAAGTACGGTGGAAAACCTCTACGGGGGTTCATGCCTCATTTACTACAGAGGCTTGAGGAGATAACTTTTGCAGTTTTGGACTGACACTATGCAATAATGCTTCCAGCAAAATAGGTTCAGGTTAGGGGGAAAACAGTTCAAACTAGTAAATAATTGCAGTATCATTGCATCAGTTTAAAGAGCTGACAAGCCCTCTCTAAACTCCAAGCACAATTAGTCATTAGGGTCTAGTTTTTCAGCACTGTTAAGCAATTTGTAACCCATTCCTTTTAATAGGGTTAGGCATTACTTAACTGACACAGATGCCATGAAAAGTGAAACCTCAAGTTATGAAGCAGGAGCCTTGTTCATTACCTCCTGTGATAGTCAAATCATCTATAAAAACACCATTTAATGGGCAACCAATGAATAATCAATGGCTCACTTTTCATCTGAGTGTGAAAATGAGAATAATCTAATACAAAGTCCCTCTGGTAAGAGGCTGAATCTTGGGTTCTACTGCTCTTCAGGGTTGATTTATAAGGTCTTGGGAAGCTGATGTAAACAGATGATCAATGGGACCCATCCCTGCTCATAATAACCCCCAACTGGCCCACTCCCTCTTTTCCAAGTCTATCCCTTCAGGCTATTAGCTCTGTCCAGCTAATTCTTCCCACTACTCCTGCCTGCTGCTTTTACTCTGGCCATCCGTTCAGTCCAGCCGACTCAAAGTAATTTTATACGCAGCAGAGAGCTGGTGGAATTGATTTTTCACTCAGCACTCAGTTCCCATCTGAATAATTATCAATTTTACTGCCTCATAAAGGGAAGAGTCAAAATTTCAAATCAATTCAAAAGAGCTTTTGAGACGACAGAAACTGTGCATAAGAATAGAGGTCAAAGTTGTCAGTGACCTAAGGAGATGATGTCAGATATTACTATCCCCAACAGTTGACATCAGAGGCACTCAAGATGATATAACCTAGTGCTAATGCAAATCATATTTATGCTGACTACCAGAGACCAGTCATTAATATTTAAAATGCTATCTGAAAGGCTACATTCCAAATAAATAGAATGTATTCTACTGTTAATAAAGATATATCACTACTTAGTCATATGCTATGAAGTGAAGGATTACCAAGTATTATTAACACAGAGAAATTACTTAAACCAACAATATGGTAATTCTGAGTAAAGACATGCTTGATGGTCTCTTGAACAACAACATTACTTGCTCATAGCCTATTGATTTTTGGCTAAAATTTTCTACTAACTTAAAAGTTTCCGCTAGTATTTATGGGACAAGAGTGTGAATACAGGTGAATACTGGCAGGGGTGACTTGGGGGTAGACCTGTCCTTTGTCATGGTGGGGGGGGGGTGGCCTGAGTTCTGGTCGGTCTATGGGTATTTCTTTTCTGTAGTGGCTACATGCTCCAAGTCAGTGGTTGTTAACTTTCCCCACGCAAAAAAAATGAGGATTATGCATAGTTCCTACTCTACTAGTGGCTACTGCATTTGGGTGGGGATGGAGGTGGCAGAGGTACACCTAAATTTTGTAGAATATATATTTTGAAAAGGTTTTCCATGTGAATCTAAGATACTTTGAGAACCAATGGTGTGAGTAGTGAGGACTTTGGGCTTTTGAGCTAAACAGACTTTATTTCAAATTCTAACTCTTACCACTTTCAGTTAATCTCATTGCACTCACTTTAATCATTTGTAAAATAAGGATGATGATGTCTGCACTTCACGGTTACTGTCAGGTCTAAACGAGAAGACTCCTCTCACATTCTTTCCCTCTTGTGTCACTCTGTCATCACTACGTTAATAAAATTATCAAGTAAGTGGTTAGTTATTTGTCTCTGTCTCACATGACAGGAAACATTTTAAGGACAGTATGCCTGACAAATCTTAATTGTTCCTGCACCTTGCCTGTAATAAATCTTCAATATATCTGAGTTACTTTTCTTTCCCCTTTACATTGCCAACCTGTTGAAATAGTTCCAGGGTCATATAAAATAGTACTAAGTTGACAGGCTTTTGCTAGTTACTCAAAATATGAATTATATTCCCCTTCACCCCTCCTTGAAAAATAATTGGTTAAATGAAATGTCATCACAAATAAAATTTACATAATTTCATTTAAATATTAGTGAAATATGGCAGCTAGGAAGGAAATCTCATCTATGGCTCTTTATTATTTGCTCATCAAAGACAACTGCAACAAGAAACTTGATCTACACTTGCAAATAACAGATTTTTATAGATATAATTTGACAAAAGAAAACAACTAAAGCCAGGCATAGTATGGATGCCTATAATCCCAGTGGTCTGGGAGGCTGAGAAAGGAGGATTACAAATTCAGGCCCAACCTGTGCAACTTAGCAAATTATCAAAACCCTGTCTCAAAAATTAAAAAAGAGGATGGTGATGTAACTCAGAGTGAAGTCACTGCGTTCAGTCTTACACACACACACACACACACACACAGAAGAAAGAGAAAAAACCACTAAAAACTGTATAAACAGACCATTTTACAAATTTAGTGGAAGTAGAAATACCATAGTGATGGTAAATCCACAAATGGTATTTTTCTTTTGGAAAAATATTCTTAGCAAGTCTACTTACTTTTATGCATACTGCTGCAGTTTTTAAAAAATAGTATTAAATGTGGACCTAACCCACACTTGAAAATAAAGAATCTGTGGCTTTATTACTTACTAGTTAATTAAATGTTCCTGGGAATATTAGCTCATCTGTTTGAACTGTGATTCCTCAGCTTACATTGAGAATGATACTAACTATACTATGATGGACAGTTCCTAGCAAATTTCCTGGCAAAGTCTAGAAGCCCAGGAAATGGTAGTGTCCCAGGACATCTGTGTACTCACAAGGCAAACCTATGATGGCATTATCAGAGACTACAGGAAAGACGTCAGAGATTGACCTGTTTTTAGTTCCAGGTTTGCCATACTTTTTCTCAGGCTTCTGGAAGAACTATTCTGTTTTAAAATCCTAACCTCACTGAGAAGAGACAGATAGCAGTGGGATTTCTTGAGGGTGGGTAATGCTGGGGCCAGTGTGCTATCCCACTTCAGGGGAAATACTTGTAGAAAATAACTATTAAAGAGTCTTAGCAAGAGAGTTGTAGAGATGTTCAGAGACCTGGGTGGTTTCTGGGGCATTCTGTTTCTAAAGCTAGGTTACCTGCTGCAGGACATCTGGGTTTTGCTGCATAAAATGTAATAGTCTCTGACCAGCCTGGGTAGCCTCTCTGCATCGAAGTGGCTTCTTGCCCTCTTTTGCTATGTGCTTGAAGAGGTAGGTGACGATGTAGTCTAAACTGGTACAGCAGCTGGAGGAGACAACTGTATCTGTACAAACAATAAATAAGAATTCATTTGCATTACTGAAGTGTTTGCTTCATTTGACTATCATGTCTCCATTAAAAAAGAATTACCATCTGGTTTCAAAGCACTTCCACCAATGTATCATCCTTGAGGGTAGGAATATTGCCTTGTTTCTCTCTGTAAATCCAGTGTCTACTATAGGGTCTGGCATACAGACATGCTAGCAAGAAAATGATTCCTTGAGTAAACTGGTCCATTTGAGATTGTAGCAACTTCTACTTCTGTTCAATACAAGTAACTGCTCATTAGGAATCAACTTAGTACACTGGGCTCTGCTTCAAGGGAAGTGGGTCCATCTCCCACCCTGGTATCAAAGGGCCCATGGTTTATTATACAGGTTACTACAGTGCAGTGCTATATAAAAATGAGTAATACACTGCTGTGGGAATTTTGAGGGAGAGATCACAGTTAGATGGAGGTCAAAGGAGAGTTTGGTAAAATAGGTAGCCCCTAATATAGATTTGGTGACCACATGCCATGCCAAGCTTAGAAAGATTATTTCATTTACTCTGAAGAGAGGATATTTTTCACTGGGCGAGGTGATGAACACCTATAATCCCACCATCGGGAGGCTAAAGCAGGAAGACTGTAAATTCAAAGGCAGCCTGGGCCTCACCGTGTGTTCAAGGCCAGGCTAAGTACAGTGAGAACTTGTATATATATATAAAAAAAAGGTAATTTTTCAGGTACAGAAATTAGCATAAGGCAGTATAGTATTAAAGGAAAGGCATAGATTTTGGAGCAAGACAGCTCTGATTTGAAGTTCTATAGTTTTCAATCACTTGCTGTGTTATTACTATGAAAGAGCTATTTTTCTTTTTTGGCATTTTTTTTCTTTTTCAGAATTTAGAAAAGAACTTGCAGAATTGAGTGAGAAGAAAATATGTCCATCAGCAAGAAAAATGGCGAAAAATGGCTGATACGTACTGAGAACTTACTCTGTTAGTTACTTTTTTAAATTTTATTTTATTTTTTTTTTTCTGGTACCGGGGATCGAACACATGACCTTGCGCTTGCCAGGCAGGCACTGTGCCACTGAGCTAAATCCCCAGCCACTCTGTTAGTCACTATGTTAAGTGCATTACAGATCATAATTTTTAATCCCTGCAACAATGCCATAATAGTTACTATTATTATAGTCATTTTCAGGTGAGGACACTGAAACTAGATAGATTAAACGTTTTATTCAGTGACACATAGCTAGAACATTGGACAGCCATGGTAAGAAAATAAAAAGTTGGACTGTGGATCTGTATTCTGAATCACTAAGTTAAAAGTAGGTATTACGACAAACATCACTATTAAATTCATTCTAAAACACAATGGGCACTTAAGATATTGCAGTTATAGCAGTTTGCTTTTATGGCAAAAAAGAGGGTACATTCAAAGAGTAGAGCTCTTGGTCTGAGTGGGAGAATGTGTAGAAGAGTCATAAAGAGAAGGCTGGCAAAGTAGGTTGGGGGCCTTGATGGCATCTGAAAGTGGGCTTATATACTTACACTGAATTTGAAAACTGACAGACGTGTTACTGAATGTTTCTGAAGCAAGTTACTGACAGAAAGAGCAACCATTTATATCCTCTTTATATCCTAAAATGATAATGTCATTCACTTTTAACAACTGCATAGTATATTAGGTAACATTTGCATTTTTAAAATAAGAAAACTAAGGGCTGTGTATGCAGCTCAGTGGTGGAGCATTTTCTTAGTATGGAGGAGAGAGAAATGGAGAGAGGGAAAGAGGGAGAGAGAAACAACACTAAAATTCAGGAATTAAGTAGTTTACCCAAACTCCATGATTTTGAGTATAGCAGCACACTGTCCATATTTATTCTTGGGTAATATGTATTTTGACACAGTCCCTAGGAATTCTTGAGTATTAAGAGAAATAATTAAGAATGGTAAATACAGTAGACTCAGAAGAGAAATAGACCCAGAAAATAGGGCTGGGACGTAGACTATAAACTTTGTAAAGGAATAGTTTCTTATCTTGTTCATGTCTGAGAGTGTCCAGACCCATATACATCTAACAGAGACACGAGATATTAGCTAATTAAGTAAAGAATGGGTAGCTGAAGCTAATCTGAGACAGCTGTCTGGAGAAGGTCTTGAGCTATGTTTAGGAATAATACCTCGCAACAGTATGACACTGCAGTTCTAAAACTCTCACATCACGTACAGAGATACATCATGGGAAATAGAAAGGAGGCTGTGGGGCAAGTTCTAAAACACAGACAAAACAGTGGTAGCTGACACAGGATCATGAGGGCTGAGGGGCTGAGGGAAGGTCTAAAAGACAGGCATGGACAACAGTTTTGGAAAACTGGGGGCGGGTATGTAACTTTTAACAAGGTGCGTTTTATTTTTTCCTAAAGTGTGGAAGTTGATCAATTAATTTGTTCATTTACTTTTTATTTCTTCCCACTAGCTGGGTTGCTTTGTAGAAAAGGGAGTTTTGTTTTATAACTCTGGAGGTAGCATAGGCCTGGGCCTACGCCTAAGAGTCAAACACCATTTTGCTGAGTGTGGTTACTTCTCTTTTTTCTTCACATTTCTATGTTTGAAGTCCCAATCATGAAAGTAAACAGATTAAATAACTTAACATCTACAAAAGCAAGCAGGAAACAGAAGTTGTTCCCTGCACCAGTAAAGAGCAATATGTAATCAATCATACAAAAATTTTAAAGACTTCACATAGATAGATTTGGTGACCACAGGCCACGCAGGTTGCATTAAAAGGTTCCAATCCACTGAGTCAGCTGCGAAAAAGCCAGGTAAACACTTTAGACTCAAAGGTTGAACAAATACCCTTGTAATAAAAGCAAGAAGAGCTTCCATTACAGCTGATTTATGGTTGGGGGTTTTGAAAAAAGATAAATGTTATTCCCAGCTAGATTTAAAAGTGTGGAGTGATAAGGATCAAAGGGTATTTGGTCAAAAACAGAATGAATAGTGCTGAAGACTATGTATTATTATTGGCTTTTCTTATCTGCAGCTCTAGCTATTGTGTGAGATCCAAATAGTGACATAAAACAATGGGCAGGGGTCATACGAGTTTTCAAATTTTGTCCTACTTCGGGTGTTAGGACATTTTGGAAAGTAATACATTCATAATTTAAAAACATTTTGGAAGTGATTTTTAAGTCTATTAGGTACTTGGTGTTTTCTAGCAACTTCTTATTTGGCATTGAAAACAATCAAGTGCTTCTTTTCTCTTGCAACTGGTCTCCACAGGAAGCACATGCATCATTAATAGCCCTCCTGCTTACTAAGACCCATCACCAAAAGCTGCTCTGAAAAGTTAACCATGTAGGAAAGAGTTGCTTAACTGAGAGGAAGAACGGAAATGGGGCTGAATTGAAATTTGGCTTCAGCTCAAAGCTTCTCCCCATAGCAGAAAGGAGGATGAAGGTCTTGGAAAAATACAGTACAAAGGGCAATTTTTGAGTCAAAAGGCCTATGGGGGAGGTGTAGCAATTTTGGGGATGGGTGTATGTTTAAGATGTTTGACTTTCCTAAGCTTTAACAGCAGTGTTGTAAAATGTGCTAAATACCACCTACTTCATAACAAATCGTGAAACATTAATGAGATTTAGTAGGTAGAAACTGTAACACAGTACCTATGACACAATAGCCTTTTCCTTTTTCACTTCCCGTTTAGACACACTGAGGCTGACAGTCTATACTAATTCATAGCTCTCATCTATCATTGTGGTGGGAAAAACTAACATATAAGATCTCTTAAGTTTTCAGTATTTCTGGAATGATTTACTCTCATATTACATTCATGTCATATATTCCACGCAATTCAAGAATGTGTTCAAAGTAAGAACATGGTCATTTTTATTCATTATATACATTTTATTAATAGCAGCTTTCATGGGAAAAGATCTGGTCATTTGCTTATCCTCACTTTTCCTCCACAAGCACTCTACCACTGAGCTATACTCCTCAGTCTAACCTTCCCGTGTTTAGGCTGCTGTGCTATCCTTCCCTCCTGCTAGGACTGCACCCCTATCCCTGCCATGACTCATCTTCAGAAATATTACCTGATCACTTCTTCAGAAATAGCCACACTTAATCACTTCATGCAGTACTCCATTTTAATTCTGTGTTTAGCACTTACCATAACCTGGTGTTTTCCAAGGTATGTGTTTGTTTCTTCAGTTTTTGTTTATCTCTCCTTACTAAAACATAAGTATTCATGTAAGCAGGGATGGTCTTGTTTCAGTACTGCTAAGGTCTGGAATAGTACTTGGTACTTAGTATGTGGACACTGATTAATTACTGAATGAGTGAGGTGAGAACTTAATAAGAGAGGCTTTTTGTAAGCTGTAGGATTGGTCTCTACAAGAGTATGGGGGGCAGTGGGTGATAGAAAGATAGTCAGAAACTAAGAATGTTAATTAATTTTTAGAATATTAGGCAAGTCACTGCTCAATTACTGATTCAACTTTTCTGTCTCCCTCAGATTTTTTTCGTTTTTACTTTGAGGTTCTAGTTGAATCGAGACTACTTCTAGCAAACCCACCCCCGCCACACACACCCCAAGTCTCTTTGCCAATGTATCATTGTCAGGATAGAAAAAATCCAAGCTACTTTCAAAATTCTAAACAGTGTTTCTTAAACAGTTCACCAGAGGCATCCAATGTGTGTGCCAATTTACACACGTGTTTAAAAACTCAGAAATACAAAGAAAATAATTTCTACCATACCCAGCTGTCAAAATTGCAATCTTTATTAGGAAGATCTAGCAGGAGGTATGGTGAAGAATGGAAAGACTCCTGGATCAGATACTTTTAGTTGTGTGATCTTCGGGGAATTATTTCACTTTTTTCAGTCAAAGCTTATCTCCACACAATGAAAATAATATCACCTAGTTAACTCAATATTCAATATTCAAATATTCAATAAATATTTAGTGAGCACTTATTATTTACCAGAAACTAAGAATAAGGCAGTGGT